AGGAGCGGAGCACAGGAGATGTTATTATTTATAAAATTATATAGAAATGTGACCATCATGAGGAATCTACGTGTATTCAGCGATATAATATTAAATTGGTTCAAAAGGATGGAATAGTCAATTCCCCTTTGGGGGTAAATACCTGTAGTGCGAAAAGACAAGCTTCAATTTGCTGTGTGTGACATTTATGAATGGGATACCAGATCATCGCCCCATATTCTAGTTTGGACCTCACATAAGCATAGAAGAGCGTGATTGTCACCTTTATATATCTAAATTCTTTGGTGTTCCTCATTATGAAGCCCAACATTCGACTAGTGGATGAAACAGCTTGATCTATATGTGATACAGAAGTGAATTTTTGATAAAAATGAATGCCAAGGTTTTTCATTTCATTAACTCGACTTATGGTATTGTTATCAATTTCGTAAGAAAATTGTATTAGACTTTTCTTTTGTGTAAAAAGACAATACATGACATTTAGCAATGTTAAGATTCAAACGATTATTGGAACGCCAATCATATATCAGATCTAATTAATACTGTGAGTCTAAGCAGTCTCCATAATTTTTATTCGCCTTGAATATTTTAAGGTCATCAGGGTAGAGCAGTTATGAATTGTTTATTATTTTAGTTAAATCGTTAATGAAAATCAAGAACAAAAGGGGTCCTAAATTCGAGCCTTGGGGCACTCCGGAACAGGGAGTATATAAAGCAGATTTAAAACCTTCATACTCTACATACTGTTTTCTATCGAGTAGATAGTTTGACATGAGTTTCACCAATTTTGCTGACAAACCAAATTCTGAAGACGCTTGAGAATAATGAAGAAATCTATTCAATCGAAAGCTTTTTGCATGTCTGTATAAATGACGTCAACCTGCAGTTTTCTATCCAATGCTTCAGAGACACATTGTGAAAGACATGCAAGATTAGTTATGCACGACTTCTTTTCTACAAACCCATGCTGATCATCTGATATTATATTTCGTATTGGACTGTGAATATTGCTCAATATTGAAATGGCTTTATAGTGTTTTATTGATGTTATATCAGCCTTTTCAGCTAAAGGTCAGGAAACTCACAAGTTTTCAAACAAAGATTATGTATATGAAGTAGGGGACTCAGTAAAGGGTAAATACATCTTCGATAACATCTACTTCATTCACCTGATCGATAATTATTGTTGGTAAACTGTTTGTGCAGTTATCAAAGGTATTACATGAAGAGACATCAGATATAATATAAACACTTTTAAAAAAGTTTGCAAATGCATCCATAATTTCCTGCGGTTTGGTGTAAGTTTTAGTTTCATCCTTCCGGGAATTTTCGAGTTTTATTGATTATTTCAGGGATTTCAAATCATTTTATATCATATTAGACAATGGAAGTCCGAACTGATGATATTCGGTATGAAACATTGTCGACACTTTTATCATTGGGTATCATGGACGTGAAAAACTTCGTTCTTTGGTGACATACCTAAACTCGGTTTATGAGAAAATGAGTTTACCTTAGGGATGGGAAGAAACAAATAAGTCAAACAACAAAAATATTCCTCTAATCAGTCAAAAACCCCCACTTCGCAACAAATAAACAACATCAGCCCTATACCAACTCCACTTCGATGCAGGTCATAACATCGACTTCAGAAGCTGCAAAATACACGCACTAGAAAACCAGGATCATAAAGGATGCAATGAAAATTGAGAAAATCAATGAACAACTATGCAAGGATATTTTTTGCCCATAAAAAATGTCTGCATGTGACGTTGATAACAGGTTTCAATAGACCATTATTTGCAATAGTTTTTCAGACTTTATTATCATTCAGGTATCCTAAATAAAAAGTTGAACTTGAACGCCAACTTGTTTGGTGAAACACGCGTCGAGAAGAATATTGCATTCCTGGTGATTGCATTAATGAGAAATACTTCAATACTCACATGTCAAGTTCAGTTCCACAATGGGCAGCACTCAAAACGTAGAATTTCGTAATTAAAGCACCACCACACGTGTACAAACGAAACTTTACTCCGTCTTCATCAAAAGTTTCTCCTAATCTTACCATCCATGGAAATTCACCATTTTTGGCTTCTTCTCCTCCAATGATTCTAGTTTTCATTTGTCCTTTGGCTAATCCACAAACATCATTGGGAATCCAACTCCACGCAGGGTGTTCTTCGATGTAGGTTATATTATCAGATGTATCTCCTTGAAAAAAGTTTAATTGGATTTATGAAAACGGTCTCCTGGGGGATTAGTCTCAATAAATTATTACTGAATTACATAGTGTTTTTCAACCAATTCGAATATGAACCATTTATAAACTGAAGACTGTGTACTAAAGTCTCCAAATGGAATTTCTAAACATTCATCTCTGCCAACGTTCTGGTAAATAATTGCAAGATACCCCACAAAGGTTAGTCAACTGAACCAGAAAATTGGCAGAAAACGTGTAGGGATTCTCACATTCGGAAAAAGTTGTAGAGCAATCACCAGAAGAAACCCAAAAACTACCTGAATCAAGATGAATACGCTGTACGCAGTCGTAATAACCAGTTGTGAAGAGAAACTCAAAATGTATGAACCTCTAAAAAAGCTAGCCACGTGCGCCAGCGAAATCAAAAATCGACGGCCTCCAAACCCGAATAAAAATAGAAAGACATATGTATATCGACCAACTGGGTTGCTTAAATATAAATTTCTCTATGTACAGTAAATTCCAGCTCCCGTTCCATGTTCGGTTTTTGACCAGTCTGTATACCGGGTATTTCTGTGGAGCGTGTTCTTAGGATGATTCTTAGCGAATTACGACCTCAATCGGAAAGTTTGTGTCCAACATGTATTTGAGTGGTTTCTAGACCGAGAACATGTTCAGTGTTCTGTTTTGCCAGATTTCTTGAACCTTAGTGAGTTTTTTAGTCTAAATTTCCTCACCCTTACTTTCCCCATTATCGCGAGACGTAGAAAAGGGAGCTCCAAGAGGTTCTCCAATGCAGCTGATGAAGTGGTTTTCATTGCTCACGTTATTCCTAAATATACATGTCTTTGCCTACTGCTTTGTTTGTTAGATTAGATTGTCGGGGAGCTGGCGTCTGACCTGATTCACTGGGACCTTTTCAGATCTATTGTGATGCTCTTTGGTTGTTAGAGCTCATTGTCTAGCTTGATCTCTTTGATGAGACTCCATAGCCTTGACACTGACCCCTTCATATAGGTGGCAGCCTCTGGTTTCTCTTTCCCGCATCTTGCGTGTCTCAGCCTTGCTATAGCTTCGCATTCACAGAGCACATGCAGTGCGGTTTCTTTCTCTTCTTGACAGAACCGGCATTGGGAACCGGCATTGGGAACCGGCATTGGGTTCCTTCTCTCAAACCCATGTTGCTTATATGTTCCCTGAGTCGGCTATGCCCCGTTAGTAGACCCACAACTACCCTTACAACCTTACGGTTTTGGTTTAGCAGATCTTCCGTGAATCTGGGCGATGTTTTTTTTATGAACTATTTCGCCTGCTTCATTCCTGGGAGCTTATTCCCCCAATCTATCGATTCGGCTTGCATCCTTGAGTTTATGGATGTCTTTATACATGCTTTCGCTACCCCGCAAAAGGGTTCTGGGCCGATCACGGGCTAGAAAATCGGCGTCTCCATTGCCCTTGTGACCCTCTTCTCACCAGTTTTGAGAAGACTTGATATGAGCTAAACGCCTTAATTGCCGCCTGGCTGTCGGAGAAAATGTCAATGGTTTTATTTGTGACCTTCTGCCTGTTTATTTCTCCTATACAGTGTTCAATGGCCGCTACCTCTGCCTGGAACATAGTTGCATTATGTCCGAGGCTGAGTGCGATTCTCGTCTTTTGCTCTGCCTCCGAATATATAGGCTCCCACTCCTTCTTGGGTCTTTGAGCCAGCTGTGTACCAAGTTTCTTCCGCTTTTACCGGTGGGCCGTTTTGCCAGTCCTCTCTACTTGGTATGATAATTTTGAAAATATGTTATCCACGGGCATTCAGTTCATTGTACAGTTTCAAGTATTCTGCACCGTATGACTGGCTGATTGGGGTTTGCCCCTGCATTAGCTTGTGTGTCCCTAGTCGAGCTTCTCTTTGTATGCAGATGTGCAATGGTTGAAGTCCGAGTAGGACTTCATAGCTCCCGCGACACTCATTCATGCCAGTCTTTGTATGCCGCCTAATAGCCTAGCCGTACCTGATTGCTTTGTTCTTGTCCACCAAGTCACTACACCATATGTTATCATGGGTCTCACTAACCTTGAACATAACTAGAGTGTCATTTTTGGGTTCAACCTCATGAGCCTGTGATCGAAAGTCACACCGTGGCACGACGAGTGGTTTTTTGGGCATTCACTGAGAGGTTCTCATGCTCGCACCATCTGCCGACGATGTTCAAGGCTCTCTGCATGCGCTCCGAGATGTCGCCTGCAAATTTCCCTCTTGTGACTAATATCACCAGATCGTCAGCATATCCCAGGCAATATATGTCTTCTTCAGATAGCTTTTTGAGGAGATGGTCTACTAGGGTTGGCCATAGCAATGGCGATAGTACGCCTCCTTGTGGACATTCCTTCTCTGCTCTTACCTGTATGATAGCCTCTCCTAGAGTGCGGTATATCATCCTCTTTTCTAGACTGACTTTCATCTATTGACACACGACAGCTGATCGATTCGGTCGTTACTTGATGAATATCCATGGTAATTTCTAAACTACACCCCACGATTTGATTTCCACAAACTTTATTTGAAAAATATATCACGACATGTTTCGCTAACACAGTAGCTTTGTCATGTCGTGATATATTTTCCACATAAAGTTTGTTTGTTAATTGCAGTCGTTTATTCCATCTCTCACTTTGACTGCCATGGGTTTAATCATCATGTTGTAGATGCAATACTCTAGTTTAAACCGCTATGTCTCTCCGAATGTGCGTCCAGCCAGCTTCAGTTCTACATCCGCCTTTCTTTTAATTTTTCGAGATCTAGTATAACTCCCATGATTGACATCCCTGACAGATTCATCTCTTCACCTGGAAGTTTGAGAGATCACAGCCACTGTTAATATATACATTGTTTCATGTTAAAATACCTTGTTTAATTTTTGGCCACCAGACCAAAGAAGTATATGTTATCACCACTGAGAGCGGCCTATACATCAAGTCTAGTTTCAGGCTCCGTGTCTTCACATACGTCCGCTCTCTTTTTTATCCTTCCAGGTCTTGATGGCGGGTCAGTCTGGGATATGACCAACTTTAGATATTCAAACTCTCCTGACACTTCTATTATTTATTCACCTCGAAAAAGGTCCTAGTTCCCCTATCTTGGTCGTTCTAGTCAATGTTTCTTTGATATTAGTATGAATTGATAATCTTTCTCTAAAAGCCCATTCCCGTCTCCATTGCAAACTTATACTGATGAAAATCTGAAACCTGAAAGATATTTAATATTTCTTTGCTTGATCCGGTTCTGATCATAGGCCCTATTAGCACATTCAAAGGCTGTAGTCATACGGCATGTCTTCAGTGTTGCTCAGCCATGAGCAACACTGAAGCATGGGGCCTTCTAGAGATTCGCCATATTGCGATCCCTTTATTTTTTTCTCTTCATTATTTTCGAAGCCAATTTATGTCTGACCATTGTTTTTAACAAGTTATTTTCAAATTCGAGAGCGAGAGATATTTCATTTAAATCCTACTTGTTTTGACTCAAGATGCCTAACAATCGGCTCTTCAGCAAACTAACTCACCTGATACATATATGATCAAATTCATAAAAGGCACAATATATCTGAAATGTGGTAGTTTACGTAGGAAATACATTTTGCTACTGAAACAAAATAAATATCGTACGTTACATGAAATGAATGGTAGCACTACTTTCATTTATTTATCCAATTTATTATTCACATAAAAATTGATTGCTTATGTTAATTCCACATTGTTCTCAACGGTGAATAAGAAAGTTTAATTTTTAGATTTCCACGAAATGATTTTTGGAAGTGAAATATTTTAGAAAATCAATTGACCCATTTTGTTTATCATTGAATTATCTTTGAAGAAAATATCCTGGTTTTGTTTTCTTTCAAGTAACCATTTTTTCATTCTTGAAAATGAATATTTTTTTCATCATCACCATAAATGTTAACTATCTACTGAAGGGTTCTTCTTTAAGTGGTCTCTCAATAATATTACCGGGGGAGTTTTTTGTTGGCTGGTATTCATCTATTGATCTGAATATCTCATCGATCTGTTCCGTATTTGGGACCACAATCGTGATTCAGTTTGTCTTACTATTTCAACTGATTTATGTCAGTAAAATGGCAGAAATCGGTATCAAGGACACTGCGATCAAAGACACTTTCAGTCCAGAAAATAAAAATGACAGTTATTTGATGATTTTCAACAGGTCGCTTTGTTTCGAAGATACAGGGCGAAAAAAAAATTCGACAATAACAATTTTGGTAATTTCGTAGCCGAAATAAAAGTATAGCGTACTACACTGGACCTACCAATTAATAAAAAATCTAAAGTTATTAGTTTATATCACTCCAGTGGAAGATGTGGAAGATTTGAGAAATCGGATAATTGCTGGGTGTAACGCAATCAGAAACGATCCTGGTGTTTTTGAAAGAATACGGGAGTCGATGAGAGGAAGATTGGATTTTTACATACAAGCAAGCGGGGGGTAGTCGAAACAAAGCGCCCTATCAAAAATCATGAAAGGACAAAATATCTTCAGAATAGTCCAAGGAATAGTCCTTCAAATTTTTGCCGCATGTCTAATAAACACTCTGTAGAATTGAATATATCAAACATGTTCATTGTTCATTGTAGCGAGCTATTATAGTCTGCTTAGTTCGACCAACATATTTTTTATCGCAATCCTCACTTTTCTCAACTTTTCCTTTTCCGTCGTTTTGTCTTTCGGGTTGCCCAACACTTATTGAAGTGTACGAGCAGATTCCAAAGCCAATTTCATAGTAAATTTTTTAAACATTTGAACCAACACTTTGGTGTCTTTGTATCGTATGGAAGAACTATAAATTTTGAGTCTTCATCTTTCTGATAATTCAATAATTTACGAAGGCACTCTTTAAAATTTGTCTTCTTGGTTAACTTGAATTTTTAAAAGATGTATGAGCTATCTCTTTGATAAATAATGTAGAGATTAGGTATAAGTCAGGTATAAGTGGTAAGTATAATTAGGACACAACTAGGAATTTATTTGTGAGAAGGAAAGTTTTTGGCTTTCTACTACTCCATCTTGATATAAAAAAAGAAGGATGAGGGAGTCTTCCAAAGAAAGGAAGGAAGTAACTCCATACATGGATGTGTAGATCATGCAAAGAAGTAACTTTCAGACACAAACTGAAAAAAAGTCCTCCTGAAACAGCTACATTCATATAAACATTGAATTATACGAAAGAAAGAATTCTTTCGAAACAAATACTTCTATATGAACACTGAATTATACAGAAGATAATTTTCTCTACTCAGTTTGTATTTCAAACATTCGTTGTGGAATAAAAATCAGATATCATTCACATGAGTTCTACTTTAAATAAATGGTAACAAATTGCACTTACATAGAACACTGCCATCCTCACTGGTATACACCGATGTTTCACCTTAAGACACTTGCCCTAAGGCAATTCAAATAGGAATTTATATAATGACCCTTGTCATGCAAGATAATGATTTGTCTAGATGCATATGAAAACATTAACATAGTTCGTAAAAAGTAGTTTCAGTCATCTCCTGATGATGCTTCCTTGGTTATCAAAACACGCGTCGAGAGACAGCATTTTTGTTCTGGTGAAATAAAAGTGATTTCAAAATATTTTTTTTATTCGAACTTCTCCTATTTTCAGGGTACTGTTGATGGTGCAATTAAAAAGATGTATCAGGTATTAGTTCAGTCCGTTTCTATGAGTCGACTTTGAACTGTAATATATCAATATTTCGATTTAATCGAATTAAGGGCTATTCCAATCACTGCACTTTCGACAACGTGGCACAAGTGATCGATTCCATCAGCATAAAAATTGTGTGCTTGGGATTCGATAAAGTCGACGAAGGCTGTTTTTTGCCTGGTCTTGATTGGCGAAGGTTATACCGGTGAGAAAGTTATCGAAGTGCTTGAAAAGATGATAGCCGGTTGGCGAGAAGTGAGTGAGGCAGAACGCTCAATTTATTCCATTTTCGAATGAAGATTTGTGAAACGTGTGGACAAGCGTTCTTGTGTAGCAGGTAGACCTCTTCTGTTGACAAGTGCCGGCTGCTGCTGACGCAAGTTTTGATATATTTTGTCGATTTCCTCACAATAGGACTGACTCTGCTGTCAGTCGCTGACTACCATACAGTGACCATGGCCTTTTTTGGTGGATGTTCACCTTTGGGATACACCTGGATGACTTATCGATGTCAAACCACTGTCCTAAATGACTTCTGTTGTCGTAGAGTATTCACTTTTATTCATACGTGACGATCCGATCAAAAAAAAATTGTTTTTTTTTGCACAAGTGCAAAGAAGAACAGATCTTGAAACCTGACAATTTCTGTCGATCGTTCAAATCGTGAAGCACCTACTTTTCTAGCTTTTTGACCTTTGCAATACGTTTTAAACCATCAAAAACCGCATGGGACCTGACGACCAGTTCTTCCGCCATCCCACGCACCGTTTGTGATGGGTGAGTCTCCACCAGGGTCCTCTACATTTATCTACAGTTATCCTCTCCTGGATAACTGTAGATCGACACTTCTACTCTCATTTTCGAGTCTAAAATCTCCAGAAAGAAATGTTGTGAACTAATGTCGAGCATCAGTCTGTTCATTAACACTATCATTGCCAATGCCTGGTTAATTTTTCGGGCCGTTTCGACAGCGCTCTGGTTCAGTTTGAATTCTTGGAGGAAAATTGGCCGGAAATCGTTTAACGACATCAACAGGCAAAAAAATTGAGAGTTGGATGAAATGAATAGCATCAATGTGTAGAGTACAAAATTCTCTATCGATCGGTATACACCACGACAGAGTAGAATAAATATTTATTGAGATATGTAGCTACATAAATACATAACATTAAAATCAACGAAACAACCTGATATTTTCAGAGATATGCCGAATTGTCTTCTGTCTGCAAAGCCCATTGAGTATTAATAATTTTATTTCAATTGCTGTCCAGTACCTACCTGCTGGTTTCATCGTTGAGGTTTAACATGTCGGTATATCCACACCAGTACTCTCATTTTCAAATCAGATGAACACCCATATCAAGAGAAAAATCAGATGTCTCTCTCGGTTTTACTTTTGTAGTTAGTTAGTATCATCAGGAGATGACAGTTTCAGTCATATTCTGATGGTGCTAACTTGAATAGCGAAACGCGAGTCAAGAGATAGTTTTTTGTTTTGGTGTGATAGAAGAAATTTCACAGATTCACCTCGCGCCAGAAGTTGCAGCTCTAACTATCAAACTCGGATATCTTTGAAAACACGATACCTTCACCGGTTACTGATTCTCATTACCAAGGAGAAAACGAGAGTATTCTCGACTCGGTCAAGACGAGAGAAGGCATATTTTTGTACTGTCTCGACAAAAGGCCACACTAAGTAATGAACAAATCTTTAATCTTTTGTGCCAAACTAGGCAAGTTATCCTCCCCAAAATCTTTATCTTCCAGTACTCAAGGCCTCTTTCCCACGGGAGCTTCACATATCTCGCTACCAACTGAGAAGAAGGCTCTTAGCGCCAAATTGCAACGAGTCCAGTGGAGCCTACAGACGAAGAGCGGGAGCCGCCACGTCTCTGAGGGTGTATCGTGCACCTCGAGCCGGGGACCCTTGTCCCCTCCTCAAAATGCAAAAGGATGAGTGGGGGAATCGACAAGAGAAGTGAAAACGACTGTCCCTAGTTGACGCATCACACTATCATGATAGATTACGATGTGGGGCTGTTATTTAGTGCTGTCTGCAACTGACCCGCTCTTTAGGTACGTTTATACTAGAGATTCATATCATTACATTTCTCTCTGCAATAAAGTATATCAAATGTAAACCTTGGTGATAGAAGCTAGCCGAGATTTATTCAAATAGCTGAGAGAAAATGATCGAGACAAAATGTCGTAAATGTAAACAACGCTGAGACAAGTCTCAACTAGTTTCTGATAGATCTCGCAGGAGTTGGTCGGCCGTCTACTTTTTAGCAGTTTCTCGGGATACTTTTGTGCTGTTTTCTGTTAAAACAGTGTTTACAAATAGGTGAAATGTCCGATAATAAAAAAGAATGAACACGTGCAGAAGTGACCGATTTAATTGCTTGCTATGAACAACACCTTTGTTTGTGGAATGTACTTTCCAATGAATATAAAAATAAAATAATAAAATCCGATGCCTTTGAAAAATTAATTACATAAATTTGTACTGCCAAGGAACTTCTCCGTCTGGTGAATTAAAATAATCTCTAAACTCATCTCGAATTTCCTTCGCAGTATTACAGTAATTATTAGATCCCTGTTGGGGAAGGGGTAGCAAATTATTATCTGGAAGTCCCTCAATTCTCCAACTACCGGGTACAATTTCACCATTACCATCTTCTATGTCAAATACATTAACTGTTGCATAAAATTTTCTTGAAGATTTTTTTGTCATCAAAAAATTATGTAACGTACATACAGCTAATATTACAGAATTCGTTTTTTCGGGCTTAAGAAGGATAGGCTTTCGTAAAACATGGAAAACGCTTGATACTATGCCGAAAACATTTTCCACCATTCGGCGTGCCCTCGAAAGCCTAGAATTATAAATTCTTGCGGAGCCTGGTTTCATGATATATTCTTGAAGTGAAAAGCGTCATCTGCGACGACTATGTGGGGTACCGATAGTCGTCGTCCAGGCAATGGCTTCTTTGGTAGATTTATACCACTTCGCTGGATTATACCAGGCATAACATTAGCGGCAAAAACGCCCCCATCGGAAATACGTTCATTGCATCCAATATCGACAAGTAAAAATTTGTAATTGACGTCTACCAATGCCAAAAGTACCAAGCTGTGAAACCCTTTGTAATTAAAAAAATAACTCCCTGAATTTGGAGCCGCTTGTATGGTGACGTGTTTACCGTCTAATGCACCTCTACAGTGTGGAAAATTCCACTTTTTTTCAAAATCATAATTTATCTTCAACCATTCTTCATTTGTTGTTGGCATCTGTAATATAAAATAGAATAGCATTAAAAGACAATTCTTTTTAGGGTTAATTTAATTATTATAATGCAAACTTCATTTCTATTTTTAGGAACAATGTGATGAAGGGAAAAAAGCTCTCTCAGCATCTTTGGAGAATACAAATGAAGAAAGCACGTCTGACTCCATCCAAGAAAAAACCCAAGAAACCAGTAAGCCGGTGGAAAAGAAAGCGAAGATAATAAACGATAAGAAGAAATTACTTGCGAAAGCACGAAGCGCACTTTCAAATGATGAGTATGATACCTTCGGTTCGTTTATTGCTGGTGAACTTAGGGCATTGCGTCACGATTTTTTGAAAAGAAAATTGAAGAGAGGGATTCAGAAACTCGCTTTGGAAATTGCAGAGTAGGATGAAGAAATGAGTTCCTTGGTACAATTTTCAAATACCCCATCGACTTCCACTACATCAACTTTTGACTACAATCCTCTGTGTATACTTTGCCAAATGAGTATACTGATCTCTAGTTCATTACATCAATAATAATTGATTCTAGTGAGCAATTAATGCAGAGTCCATTTAGTTTAATGAAGGTTTCTTAATCAGTTTTCTTTTTTTTTCTTGCCCCGATATACCCTTAAGATTATTCAATTTCGGAATAATTCGAAGAAAAATAATTCCGTCCACAAGGGTTAAGTCTATGGCAATGGCCTTTACACACTTCATAAACTATACCCGATATTGCAGACTTTGATATGCGAAATAGATAGCTCAAACTAATGTAGCTGTCACCTAAAATTTATTGTTTTTTTACCTCTGCTATCACAGAAAAATAAAACTTTCATACCTGTGGCTAAATATCTTAAGGTGACAAGCACCCTTTCATTAACTGAAATTGCTTCTCTCATTTTGGTGTCATTTTTTGGATCAATGGCCCCACAAAATTTATTAAATTATCGATATCTGTTGACGACATTCTCGCGAAATTTTGTAATTGTAGTGAATCTTCAACTTTTAGCTCATTAATTAACTGAGTGTAAGCCCCTGCAGTACTTCTTCTCAATAACCAGTTCTTCACCCACACTTTCTTTTTCCTTCTTTTTTATCGTCCAATAATAAAATTATTATTGCAGCAGCCTGACGTTTACAACAAGCCACATTTTAACTGAAACTAGACGGTAGACGGACAGAAAAAGTGCCGAGAGATCTTAATTCTCTATGTGTCTAAACAGAACAGCAATTTATATCAGAATTTCCTCTCAACTAGAGGTATCAGGTATTTTATCGCGTGACACTTATGTCGTAGTGAAAACTTGCAAGGAAATTTATTTCTCGATACCTGAGATATTTACCAGTATAAACGTACCTTAAAAAATCATCATATCCACATTTTTCAAATATTTTAAAATANTATGTGGAAGTCTGCGAGGTGTTAAACGTAATTTTCGCAACTTTATCCATCCCAGAACAAAACAATTATAGCATTCGAAAATAATTGAAGAACTTTTTATTATCCCGTCTAAGTTCTGGATAAAGCGTTTCAAAAACTTTAGGAACTAAAATGGCTTCCGGTTTGAATGGGCGGTATGGGAGCGAGAAACGTTAAGCTCCCCGTGTGAAAGAGGTCTAATTGTTTGAAATACTCGTAAATGAAATAAGGCAAACTAGATATACACAACAATTCAAAATGTAATTATATTTTATTTAGTCGTAAGAAATTAACATGATACCTCATATTAGAAAGTAACATTGATTACAAAAACGTTGTCTTGATTGCCTTCCTCTCAATAATTCCTTGGTAATTTGATTATTCACTGATATTATCCAAAATCCACTCCAAAAAGGCTGGTACGTTAGTATATACGGAAGGAGATTCCCCGCAAATTGGTTTTCCGAATGAAACCACACCTGAAAGTTGAACATAGTTAATGCAAAGCCTCAAATTATAAGAAGGTGAATGATTGATTTTCAATGAGAAATTTAGGTACATGTCAGTAGTAACAAGATGTTTGTTGACATGTGTTGTATATCCAATCAATAAAGGATAATTCACAATAGTTTCCCTTTCGATTACCCATGATTTACTCAGGTTTATCAGGTATTGAACAGTGACAGAGTGTAAATGCACGACAGGAATAAACAAAAGAAAGTGCGTTTCATAAACTCATGAACAAAGAAAAGTGTAAACGGTACTGTGTGGGAGACTAGACGAATATTTACGACTCGATACGAGTGATTTATGATTTGATAGTGTGGCATGAATCCACCTCAAAATATTAATTTACTTCAAATTTTAAAAAAAGAGAACTTGTGGATATTAATACAATAATCGTATGGATACACACATATGTTATCGAGTATATCCAACTTCACTCCAGAAACATACATATTTCATGGATCTTGAATAATGATTCGTGAAACAATCAAATTTCAAAGTGACAATATCGATATTGCTCAAAGTCTGATGTGGAATCATTTCATTTCATGTATCTAAAACCTGACAATTTCTGAATGAAGCTGAAACGAATAATTTTCTATCAATCAGTATTTTGTGACCAACTGCCCTAAAAACTAGTCAATATGAATTTTTAAATAAAATTTACAATGTTTTGTATACAAACAAAATTCATTGATAGGATAAGGGAACATTTCTAGAAAATGGGTTAGGAAAAAAATTATCTGTAGAAACTTTTCATTAATGTTTGATTGCAGCAATCGCGCTGTTACCAGAAGTGCTGCAAATCACCACTGACACTCAACATGGCCCCTGTCTTGGAAGGCTTCAGAATATTTCGAACGATTGAGATCTTCATATGCATAGCATAGAGGTATGGCATTTTATTTTTTTTTTCGTTTTGACGGTAACCACTCTAGCGAAATCATACTTTCCAGGATGTATGTGTAGAATACGACCCAGCAACAATTTCGAAGACGGAAGACCATCTTCTTTGATGAAGATCAGATCGTTTTCTGGAATCGATTTTTGGAGCTCTGTTACACCAGCAACGCAAAGTACGGAAATCGCATTTAGAAAATGCCAAAATTAGGTACTTTTTAAATGCCTTTTAGTTACCGAATTAAAAAATTAGGTGCTGTGTAACTTACACCGCAACTCAACACTCAAAGTTGCCTTGCTAGCAGTATGTGATGCTAACAACGCAATTAAAATAATAATAAAATAATGAATGTTAAAGGAACACTATTAGGTGCTAATTAAGTGCTAAACGGTGAGGATCATAAAATTTTCTAATTAATAAACAAAAGCTTCCAATTTCGCTAAACAGATCTAAGAATCAGGTGTCTCGAAAACAAGGACGAATCCTCTATCAGGTATCAACTAAGTCTGGTAATGCAGTGCTAATTAGGTGTTTGCAAGAAATTAAGATGAAAACGACCGCGAATAAGTGAAAAAAAAATCGAGATACCAGATTTGAGAAAAAAAATTAACAATATGCAATAGAGTCTTGAGATACTCGTAAACTAATACATAGACAATAAAAAAAGTGCTAATTGAATGCTTACTAGATAAATAATAGTAAACCTAGATTCCTGATGACTGATGGACTGAGTTCTTACAGTACGTTCCTCGATAAGTAAGGGTATGAGAATAAAGTGCTAATCAGGTACTCATTAGATATTTATAGTAAATCTAGATTTCATAATTCATATAGGGCTTATGGACCCGATAACCAACATCCAAAATAAAAATGTTTGGAAAATGTTTTTTCCGTTAACCAGCTATCGCACCCCTACGAACGATCACCCTCAGAAATCGAAACTTGTGCGAGCTAAGAACTAATGAGGTCTTACCTTTTAACGTGTGATTCCTAACACGGGTTGGACGATAGCAAGTGAGAATTGAGCGATGAGCCTGGGGCTTGAACCATCGACTCACACATCGGCCGATTGACTGAGTGAACAAAGCATCCACGTCGAACCGCCTGGCTACCGACCGACCGGTCGGTCGGTTAGCTCGCACAAGTTTCGATTTCTGAGGGTTATCGTTCGTAGGGGTGCGATAGGTTGTTAACGAAAAAAACATATTTTAAACATTTTTTTAATGGTGGTTATCGGGTCCATAAGCCCCATATGAATCATGAAATCTAGATTTATTATAAATATCTAATGAACACCTAATTAGCATTGTATTCTCATACTCTTACTTATCGAGGAACGTACTGTAAGAACTCAGTCCATCAGTCATAGTGGTTTTCGATAATGCCCCATAGGCATTATGGAATCTAGGTTTACTATTATTTATCTAGTGAGCACTTAATTAGCACTTTATTTTGATTGTCTATGTATTAGTTTACGAGTATCTCAAGACTTTATTGTATATTGCTGATTTTTTTTCTCAAATCAGGTATCTCAAATTTTTTTTTCATACTTTCGCGGTCGTTTTCATCTTAATTTCTTGCAAGCGCCTAATTAGCACTTTATTACCACGCTTAGTTTATACCTGATAGAGCATTCGTCCTCGTTTTCGAGAGACCTGATTCTTAGATCTGTTGTTCAGCGAAATTGGAAGCTTTTGTTTATTAATTATAAAATGTTACGATCCTCACCGTTCAGCACTTAATTAGCACCTACTTAACTACACACTGTTTCCTTAACATTCATTATTTTATTATTATTTTCATTGCGTTGCTAGCATCACATCCTGCTAACAACGCAACTTTGAGTATTGAGTTGCGGTGTAATTTACAGAGCACCTAATTTTTGACTTCGGTACCTAAAAAGTACCTAATTTTGGCATTTTCTAAATGCGATTTCCGTACTTTGGGTTGCTGGCATAACGGAGCTGATTTTTGGGTAGACGTTGTTTCAGCCCCGCTATGCATGTATTCCAGAGACAACAAAGTTATTGTATCCAATAGTATAGGTTCAAGCGATTTTTAAGTACTCTAGCTGGGTCCAAGTATGAAAAATCAGTTACCAACAGAGAGGGCGTGAGAAGAAATAAATCATAAAGGTCACATGACAAAGAATACAGAAGACGCGAATTCAAAATGCACTTAAACTAAACGGGCGGAGTATATAATTGAAAGATGAATAGGTTTAGCATAAGCTGCAATGCGAACTAAGTGAGATTTACCCGAAATTATACCTGCACCAAAAAATGAGAGGAACGAGGTATGATAGATGACCAAGAAAGTCTTCATTTTTCAATGTCTCAATCAAATGTTCAGAACTAATAAATTATATTTTTCATTAATTTTTTTATCAAGTTTCATAGGAATAGAAACGAGACGAACCCAAATACAGTATTCACATATAAGTTATGAATGCTATTCTAAGGAACAAGAAAAATAGATAATGCAAACAGTGGCAAAAGTACGGCACAAATTAATCATCCGAATTAGGTAGGGAGAAAACATGTTCCTTGTTCCTTTAGTTTCAACACAACTTTTCATTGATGTATATAATGTATATAAAAACGTTTTCAGTCTTCTCAGTTCTAAATCAACTCCTACTAAATTTGTGTTATTGGCCTAAACTAATTAGGTATAAAAATTGAAAGTGGTCCTGCTAGCTCAACAGGGGTGGAGTTTTTGCAGAAGCCCAAATGCTCACACCATTAAATATTTCAGTTTGAGTTATCATTTGGGACGAAAGTATCGATTTGGAGAGATACATGCTCTGAGAATCATGAAAAACTTGCCTCATCACTCTTATAGACACCCTACCTCATTTATCTCTTCTTGAAAACAGAGCTCTCTAGTATTGTATAAAATTTTATAACCACTACAGTGAAAATGGATAAAACAAAAATTTTATCAGAGCTGTTTTTTAAAATAAGCTTTGACCATGAATATGTTAAGAAATTAGTATTGATCCTGTCGAGAATATGGTAGAATCCTTCTGGAAGGATATCTATGAACACCCGTAGCCACTCAATTTAGACACTCCAGCCCTAGCGCAGTTCGAAGCTTTCAACAGAGAGCTTCGACAGCCTGAGCTCAATGAACTGCGCAACCCGATAACCCCGGATGACGTTCGAAGAGCCCTTGTTGGTTCCAAGAACTTTGCTGCTCCAGGCCCAGATGGGCTGAACACTTATTGGTGGAAAAAACTACCAAGTACCCACCGCCATCTGGCCAGAGTTTTCAACTTATGGCTCGATGGAGAGCAGCCGATTCCGGATTGGTTTGTCGAGGGGC